AACTATATATTATTAACTTTACGCCAGAAAACATTATCTTGACAATACTATAGATATAGCAACACATGTGGACAAAATAAATATGAATAAGAATTATGATTAGTCTTTTTTTGCTGCTGTTAAATCTATAATATCTATAATGATTTTAACCAAGGAAGCTTATAACGTTGCTACTGAACATGCGAATATTTGAATTTATTTGCATTTTGAGTTTTTTATAGCGAAAACATGAACAAGTTTAAAAGTATCGTACAATAATGAACCTAATCGTAGTATAAATGTAATATAATCGATACAAAATGAATTCTCTGTAGAATATATACATGCCTATTTAGTCAACATTGTCTGACAGTTTGACGTAGTCAAAGATATATAAAAACAAGTCAAAACTATTCATATATATATATATGCTTATTATTATTTCACATGGCGAACAAAGTAAGTCTAATAACTGAATTGATCCAATTGAGTTTGACCAAAGATAATTTTAGTTCACAGCAGACATTATAAATTCATTGTCAATTGAAACATCAGGTCATGTAATGGTCAACACATCAAGCGACAAAGATGCAGATGAAAAGACTGACCGTGAAGATACTGTCAAAAAAAGAGCACATTCTTATTTTGAATGGATTCATTTAATAGCAGCAATATGATATTTCAATTGCTATCGCTATATATACAATTCTTGAAAGTAATAGTAGTATGACAATTGCTGCTAGTAATCGTCTTAAAGACATAGAAATCGCCAACATTTCGCGAATGACTGAAACTGAAATAGCACGACGCAATCGTTTGAACGAAATCGCAATTGCTGAACAAAGCCGGCAGAAAGATCGTGACCTTGCTATTGATCAACAGCATCAAAACATTCTTGCTGAATATCAAGCTTTTCTTGCAAAGTTACTTACAGATAGTATTATTAATTTAAACAACAGACCCTCGGCAAAGTTAGCTGCACACATTATGACACTCACTGCATTAGATCAATTGGATAAGAAACGTAAAAGTATTCTTATTTGATCTCTCCATGACGCCAGATTAATTACTCTTCAGAAAAATATCAAACAGCTTGATGCAAGAATTATAAACGTGGCAAACGCCGATCTAACCGGCCTCATGCTTGGTTCATCGTGTGATTCACTGGATCAGTGTCCAAATAACGATCGTATTCAGTGGGATTATCTCTCATTACCAACCGCCATTTTCACAGGCGCATCATTTCGCCATGCAATATTGAATTGTGCCACTTTTGCCGAAGCTCGTATGAATTCGGCTGATCTCAGCTTTGTCTATTTTCGAGGTGCCTTCTGTTTCGATATGTGGCGTCAGGAAGAAGATTTTATTGAAACTTCGTTAGTTAACGCTAGCCTTTACAACGCTGATTTCATTTCCACTGATTTCGCTTCCTCTAATTTAACATTAGCCAATATGCAGAGATTCAAGTGTCAAAATTGTACTTTTTCGTCGGCGACTTTATTTCAAGCCGATTTAAGTTTTTCTATAATCAGGCAGTTATTCGCACAGCGCGGTTTGATACAGCCGATTTCAATAATTCAAATTGATCAAATGTTCAAGCATAAAAAACAACGATCACGAACTGCACATTTAGCGATGAGACAGTGGAAAATTTCTCATTGGTGAAAAGTTACATTAAAGAATCTGTGTTTCAAAACACGAATCTCTATATGATTGATCTCAGCAATGCTGTACTATACAATGTCAGTTTTGTGAATTCAGATATGCGTAATACAAATTTGAGTTCTACTAAATATGATCATTGTGATTTCACACATGTTACATTACACGGTGCTGCTTTGAAAAAAGCATCATTTCGTCATTCTAATTTTCTCACTAGTCGTGCCAATGTCAATCAATGAGAGGAAGCATATGATCTATACGGATCAACATTACCAAATGGAACTCTTGTCAAAAGTAGCAGTTAGAAATAAGTGGAACTAAGAGTTTTTATTTATTTATATGGTTCATAAGATGATTTAACATGACATTTATTTGATTCTAACATCTGGTGCCACATATCGCACGTACTCTTCAATGACATAAATCATTACTAATAATGTAAGAAGCTTGTGTATTGTTCCGTATTGTACTCTGCGTGCGTCTTATGCTTTTCTTCTTCTTTTGTTGTCACATTATGGATTGAAATTGTTAAAATAAAGATTCAATATTAGAAATCAAAATTTTCTAAATATTCGATACCAATTCATTATTAATTGAGTAAAAAAGATAAAAATGATTACTGATTAGATATATCAAAAGGATTATACAATATAATCTGTCATAGTATGAAGTCGTAAAGTCTTTATTATATCTTTGAGATACAAAGGCTAATATAATTGTAACGAACTGAAGAAATAGTGGTATCTCTACTCTCGATAATCCTGCTTATTGAGGAACTTCATTACTCTAGATGTGTCTATATTGCAATAAGGACGGCATTTTATAGTAGTCACACTGAAAAAGAGGAAGTGAAACTTAATTTATGACTAAGTTACCATCATATATGAGGCTCGTTTACGTCGATGGGAAAGTGATAACTGTACTTGAAAGTATACAACCGTTTACAATTGTACTTTTCCAACGTAAATAGCTTAGTATACTGCGTTTTCAAGTTTATTGTAAGCATTAATGACACAAAGGACGATTAGATAACAGCTTGTGGTACAAATCGATTAGAACTAGGGCACTGCACGGCTATGGCTTTTTGGTCCCGTTGGATAGTTTTTTCCGGTTCCGATGGAATTGTTTCGGTCGTAGTCCCGATTCTGTACGACTATGATCTACTGTTTTTAAAAGCTTGTAGTGATGATGAAGTGGGGTAAAGGCCATAGTTTATGTTATGGATGCTTTGTTTGTTAATTGATCGAGCATCAAAGTTTCAATCACAAATAAGGAAAAATAGGTGAAAAAGATGTGACTTTATGTCATGTACTCTAACAGAGACAAAGCACAAAAGTTTGTTGTCCTACTCAGTTTAGGAAAAAGTTGGTATCGGATTTCTAATATTTGTTGATACACTGTCATGTGATGGGCATGCAATTCTAACGAAGATATAATGAACGAGGCTTGAATGTTGAGATGGTCGGCTTCCAACTTAAGTTTTCTCGAGGTGTAAATAGTCGCTTTTAAAAAATCGAAGTTTTTCAAACAACATCGAGCTTTCCTAAAATAGACAGGAATATAGTAATTTGATGCGCTCAGTCGTATCATAATGCCAGAGATAAGTTTCACGGCAAATGGAGCTTATAATATCCAATTGCAAAAATCAGCCTCTGCTCATGGAAACGAATATTTCGAGAGCGTAACGATTTTCTACTTGGATTACTGTAGAAGTTGAATCTGGTATCATAATAAAACTCAGAGCATCAATTTACCCTATTCATGTCTATTTTAGGAGCGCTAAATGTTGTTTGAAAAACTTCGATTTTTTAATAGAGACTCATTTACATCTCGAGAAAATTTAAATTAGAAGCTGACCATTTCAAGACTCAAGTTTCGTTCATTATATCTTCGTTAGAATTGCATGCCCATTACATGACAATGCATCAACAAATATTAGAAATTCGATTCCAACTTTTTGCTAAAATGAGTAGGAAAATGAGGGTGTGGGTGTGGGTCTGCAAGAAAACAAGACTTAATCTTGCATCGACACCCATATATCCGCATCTACACTCACACCCAACCCGATAACCTGTTGGAGATATATCAATACTTTTGTCACAGTCTGCCAGCAATTTAAAACAATATTGGCATGCTTGTTGCGGCCCATGAAGCAAGCTAAGAGAGATAAAATGAATTCTCTGACCTTATACTTCAATATTCGTTCACAATCATGTTATCAAAAGCACTATAGTAGTGAAGCATAACCCTTACGCAATTTATGTAGTGATTCAGACGTAGGTATAGCTAACCAAGAGATTGATTTGACTTTTACAGAATGAGAAAAATGAATAATGACTCACGCCGGTCTACCAGTTCGTCCGATTCAGACTAACCGGTCGATACCGATACCGTTAAGGAAAGACTCCTACCGGTTGCAACACTGAATATGGGCATTGATTAGCAGATGACCCATAGCAACAATCACATTCTATTAGGAAGAATAATATAATAATCTTCTATCATATCGATAGGACCATTATGCCACATACATTCAAAAAATATGGGAGCTAGATATTCGAATAAGTATAAATATAAACTTTTTTGCAGATTCTATTTAGTTAATAGTTTTGCTGAAATTTTATATAGCTTTTGGTGTATTTGAGTCAGTAAAATGAAGAGAATGATTATATTACAAAAAAAAAGACAGAACATTGGGCATAGCTAGTGTTAGTATCTTTCGATCACATAGTTCTACGATTCGTTTAGCTTACATACCGCTTTACGTAGATCAGACAGAAGTTGACGCTATGAATCGTGACGACAGATTTAGGAAGTTTATTGTTGTCTGATTTTCTTCATCATAACATATAAATAAACGTATTAGAGACTTCAATCTCCGCACTGAAATATGATTCGATTTATCAACTTAAACTGAGCTTGCGTTAGATCATTCTCGTATTCATAATTCAGGTGATAGTAAGTTTATTAATGCCAATCCGGATAAGGCTCAAGCATTACACAGCCTACACGCTCTGCCACCCCTGAGGTCTATAGATGGTCATCACGCATACCCCACAATCACACTCGTTTTTTTCTTTTCATCTTCTCTTTTTTTATATTAAGGTCACTACACATGATTGTTGTTACCCATCTTTGCTGTCTGCATATTCGTGCGTCTGTTGAGTGATTCAAAACACTATAAAGAGAAAACACGATTTGTGCTTCTCTTTTGGATCATATCTCAAGGAACAAGATATTTCTTGATGATCTTTTTTTTTCTTTTTTGCTCTATGTTAGATATGGTTGTCTTCAATCAGACAATAAAAAAAAAGTAAACCACGGAGTAAATCAACAAGAACTAGTCAAGTCAAGAATAAATCCTAGCCAATGGAACGAAACAGGGATAATTATAAAGCAGAAATGAAACGATCGATAAGATCGAAGGCCGCACGCGGTTGGTCGCAGGGAACCGAGTGACCAGCATTACGGATCCAGGCCAAAAAAAAAGAATTCACTCGTTTCAGATAGCCAGCTACCTCTCGATCGTCTTCTTTCACTTTCCAAACGATGCGTTCGGCATCACGCAACTGATCTGCATAGTCCCATTCGAGTATATCAACCCAATTCATTGTTACCGAGGAGGGAATAATAACATCAAGTAATCCACTGTAAATCAATACTTTATAGTTACTATTGGCAATCATCGCTACTTTACTTGCAATTGACTGCATAACATCATCTTGAAGACCTATTTGTACTTTTTCACCATCATTATATGTCATATTGCCTACATGAATTTGACGACGATGCTCACTTGCCATTACCCAAGGAATGTAGTAGAAAAGTTTCTCTGGAAAATCGGTGCGAAGATAATTTTCAGCATCAATCATACCGGTCATATTCGAATAGATATTATCGAAAAGATCACCAAAAATAGAGTCAGCTTGCCGATATTGACCTTGCCGAATGGCTTCACGTGCCAGTGCTGTCAACAAATTGATATATTCTAGTTGTTGTTGATCAATCAAACCCATTTGATACATCGCTGGTCCATAATCCCATTGATTATAAGGATCAACCAAACCATCACCGATGGCCATTCCTTTCAGATTAATTTTCAGTTTGGCTTGAGGATTTTCTGTATGAATTTTGTAGACAATGGCTGGTAAATATTTGCCACCATAGGACTCACCAGTAGCATAGAAATGACACGAAGCATATTCGTAATAGATTTGAAAAAATTGAATGAGCATCGCATAGAGATCGCGTGCTACTTCATCTTCAGTATGCACATAACATCGATCATCGGCAGTAAAACTAAAACCAGTGCCGACCGGCTGATCGATAAAGAGAAGATGATATTTAGAGTTCCAAGTGATATTACTGGGATGAAGTTGCTCATTTTCGTCTACTTGAATAGGACCAAGTTCGGAAAAGAGACCGAAGAGAGATGATGCGCCAGGTCCACCTTGTAGCCAAACAAGCAGCGGTGAATCAATATGACCATTTTGAGCAGGAAAGAACCAAAAAAAGAGGCTACTATTACATGTCTTATTGACAGTTAAATAGCCGGAATAAGATAGGTAAGAATAAACTGGTTGTAAATGCACTTGACTCAAGTTACGAGCTAGATCGATTTGACCTGTTTCTAAATAAGGTGTAAGAAAGAGCGGCTCGCCGGGATCGTCACCTGGTCGAAGCGGAGTTCGAGGAATACTGGCAAGGCGACGACGAAGTAGATCGAAGGCTTCGATACGGATTGATGAATAAAACAGGAGTAGAAAAAAAACAGACAGTAAGTTTAGAAAATGGAACATGGTTTGTTGGTTGTCACACAAAGCGGGTTTGTGTCTATACACGGATTCTTGTTGCGTGTCTTATCAGAAAGTGGTAGAGAAGAGAAAAAAACTGTTTGTAATCATCATATTTACATAGGTGTTTGTTCTCTAACCAATCTGGGTCAGGCAAACTCTCAAGGATAGACCACACATTAAAGACAAGGTGAATTACAGCCAACAAATCGACCATTATGATAAGAATTCGTACGAATAAAGCCAAACAGCTGATTGGAGAACAACGTTCGATAGAGACCGTTAGAGACCGATAGATGTTGATTCTTTTGTCATAACGAATAGATGCGCTAGTATGAAGAACACATGAAATATGCTCGAATGGTATCAATAATACTAACAAAACACTAGTGTCTCTACCGAGACGATATTTAGACAGAGGGAAGAAAGATTGTTCGATTAACAGTAGTGATCTAGTCACGGATTGGATAGCGACTATGGTTAGCGCTTCTTTCGTCCTCAACGACCAGCTTTGCTCATCCTCCAACGAGATCTTTTTTCAACTTGTTCTGAATTTAAGGTTTTAATTCTTGAGACTTTCGATCAGAAAGAACTATGGTATGGGTGTGATTGTGATTGTGATTGTTCTTGTTTTTCACACCCACACCGCACACCCGTACCATAATTCGGCTGTGAGGAAATACCTGAAACTTAACGGAATCAACCGAGTGAGAACGTCTTGGAATCCAATCACCGCGTACCACTGAGTTCTGTAGCTTCATTTCCACGGATTTCAACTGAATTTTGCGTAGCAGTTTTCCTTCACATGCGTTAAGTTCCTCACAGAAAAATAACGGACGTCACCGGAAGTAGTCCTGAGAACATCTTGTCCTCAGAGTGTAGAAGTGTTGGAAGATCAACACCTATCCATACCCCCACACCGATATTCAAGCATTTTCTAACGAAAACTATTTTTTTTTGTCAGTGAAATGAGTTTTCTTCAATTGATCACATGAAAAAGTGATTGGTTCGTTTAAGAAAAATAAAAGCAAATTCGTAGCATTGAAAATTGGTTGAACGAAATTTCGGTCACTTTGACAACAGAATATGAATGTTTTTAATACACTTTTCTTTGTAAATTTTAGAATATCTCACGCTGCATCCTTTGGTAATTTTTTGTATTTTTAATAAAATGTATTGAGTAAGAAAAATATGAAACGTAAACTATGACCATTTAATGTCATGCTCTTTATCCATTAAAAATTAGATAAATGTCAATTATTTGCCACATATTAGTTCAGTTATAAGTGAAAAAACGTACGTATACGAACTTTTAATTATGGTTTCAGTAATTTTCTGTGAGAACAACAAATATGAGAAGAAAACGGTGTTTGACGATTTTCTACTGGTTTTTCAGGGTGAAAATTTTGAGAAAAAGTATCTTATTTATCTTGTCTTTAATGTTAGAATTAGTCCGATGTATATGCACGAAAGATAACATTTTTAGAAAACATGGTTTGGAAACAATCTTCTAGGAACTTCAAGATGAATCCTGGACGATTGTTGACCTACAGTTAATGGCGAACATTTAATAATCGTCGTAATTAACACAAGAAAAAAGGTTACAAAAAGAATCTTACGAACAATATATAAATACATAAATGTATTGCAGAACTGATGTATTTACTTGGAATATAAATAAAAGATTCATATTTTTTGAAGAAAAAATATTTTAGAGTTTGTTCTGATTGATTTGACTTTATTTGAGAGATAAAATATTATATTTGACAATAAAAAATTATTGAGAGAAAAAACAAAGACAAAGAATCTGTTTGTTCTTAGACAAATTATATTTATACATTATTCAATAAGATCAGTAATCCTTTATTCTTTTCATCTTTATTTGATTATTTTGATACAAATAATAGACGAAAAAACAACTGATTACATATTATTTTCATGTAGAAAACGAGTACAGTTGTTTTCAAGGAGTGTGTTAATTGCTATAGTATTTCTATTAGTATAAGTTTACGAACCTATAAGGTCACAATTGTTGATATAATCAAAAATAGAATAATAGTAGAAATCCAAGAGAAAAAGAAAATCTTACAAAATATACCATAACTGATAATGCGAAATCATATCGAATAAGCAAAGCAAGATTTAAACAGATAGTAATGCTGAATCTTTCTCAGAATAAACTATTAGCGTTAGCATATAAAAGAAAAGCTAAAGAGGCAAGAAAAGAACCTTACTCACTAAATATTTATGTTATTCTGCTATTATGAAAGGTGAAAATATAATTATGTAAGATAAATGATAACAAAATGTTCGTTTTCTTTTTTTTTCTCGTGTTATCAGAGCTAATCCAAACAATATGGAACTCCATTTTCGATCGGACAGCTTGTAGAGCTCCATAGCATAATGCGCGCTTCTCTATAAACTGTTTTTATGGAAATTTTGGGATGGACATATCAATGATCGACCAATAGTCCTACGCATACACCTACACACTCTTCATTGAAGCAACCATTTCCTAATCCGAAACTTCATTTCTGATAAAGCATTCAATATCCAACTTATGTTTTCTTTTTCTGTCAAATCTTGAAGAAAACCTATGCAAACAAGTGATTTGATATTGAAAATCGTAATACCAAATTTTCAAAAGTGATCAACCTATGAATTCAATTCTTTGGTATATTGAAAAAACTTTCTTGTCAAACTTTGTTTTTCTCATCTTATTTTGTTTCCACTAACGAATAACTTAATGAACAATTCTTTACGCATTAACTATTAACACAATAAGGTACTTTTAAAGAATTACTTATTATTACCATCGACACTTTTTGTCTTATATGTTTCCTTAACAGTATTTCTCATGCTATGGCACTTCTAAGTACTTGTTGTTTCCTGATACTGTTTATTATTTACTGTATTTCTATTGCTTTATATTGAGAGATTTCACTTTTTTCGACTTGTTCGAATCAGAAACTGGCTGGTCAAACCACTTTCCCAAATTCATATGACTGGATGTTCTATATAGATTGACTGAAACTGAGATTGCGCAAATTCCATTTTTAAAGTGCTTTTTTTTCTATTATACCGCAGAAAAAGTACTTGAAAGTGCTTCGACAGTATGAAGTTCAGACGTATTTTACTCAAGTATAAAACAAGTGAACAACAATTCTCTTCTTAATTTATTTTCATTTTTTTTATTTGAGAATCATCGACAAACGGATGGTGCTTATGAAGCACAGAAAGAAAAAAAAAACGTTAATTAAAACATGGAATATAATCAAACCGGACGAGAAGAGAACTAAATAACAAAGAAAGCCTCTGATAAAACATCACAAAACAAAGATAAATACGAAAGAAAGCGAGTGAAATAATCAAATTTCAATACTTGTAATATGAATTGTCTGATTTAGAAGACGATTGTAATGTGCGAACAACAATCACCTTTATTTGTTTTATCTCAACTGATGTCTTCGAATAAATGATTAATACATAGAAACAGGAAAGCTTACGCTATTTTATCGGCTGTTCAATTATATATTGTCTAAAAAGTATCTGGGTTATAATCATAAGTACTAAAAAATGCAGTAGCTGCTGTTGGATCATAAAAAAATGATTGTGGATAAAGATGACAAGCACCTTGCTATTATTATTATTGAACAACTGTATTCTTTGAACTATAATACGGCGTTTCTGTTTGTTATCCATTAAAGAAGTAGATGTTTTCTCTCCAACCACATCCATACTCACACCCTTCTTTAAATATTCTAATTGGACTTGCTGATTTTTTGGTTGAATTTAATGAAGTTCAGAGTAGAATGAACGAATTAAACAAGTACTTCTATCCTGAAATTAGGTTTTTCGAGCTCGAAAAAGCTCCTACTACATTCAGCTTCATGGTTTTCTGAAGTTCTTTGCGAGATAGATATTGTCTACTTCAAAATCGATCGACCAGATGAAGCTACAGAAATATTTATGTCATTGTCTTAAACTCATAGAAAAATCATTGTCTGAAAATTATGTTTATTTAACACAATCGAATGATAGCATTGCAAATACACTTCAAAGTATTGATCTTTATTATGAAACTAAGAGTAAGAGAAAACAGAACATGCGCAGTCCCTGGCACCCCCACTCACACGTAGACTCTAATAATTAAAAAAAAAACGAGCATCAACTACATTAGCTTTACATGTTCTTTGTTGTGTATTGTTTTATGAGATTATTCAAAAATATGTTGTTTTTAGTTTGTCTTCTGATGATAAGGATAGCACGGTTATAAGTCCATCATTCAATGCCAATTCAACTTGATGAAATTGTCTTAGACTATTTCGATGTCCTACACTGATAATAGTTGAATAATTCATTAGTTCTCAGATTAATATAGAATAAAGATATGTTTCTGCTTGTTCATCCAAAGATGATGTAGTCTCATCCAAAAACAACCATTTTGATCTAAGATAAAGAATACGAATGAATGCCATCTTTTGTTGTTCTCCTAACGAAAGAACTCGTGACCAATCTTGAATTTCATCGAGATGATTAAACCAACAACTCATTTGACATTGATTTAAAAGACATTTAATCTTTTTATCATCTTCAGATGAGAACGATGTGGATGGATAAGTCAAACAAGTGCGAAGTGAACCTAGCGGACAATATGGTTTTTGAGGAAGAAACGCCACAGTATCATCAATAGGAAAATAGATTGTCCCATGTCCGTGTGACCATATTCCAGCAAGAGTTCGTAGAAACGTCGATTTCCCAGATCCACTCTTGCCTGTAAAAACAATGAGATATTCATATCAAGTACTATTTCAAACATATCGATAATTCAATATGAATACACTTCAAATGGCGTCTCAAAAGGTTCAGTTTAGAAAATAGTTTGTAATAATCTCATAATTTATCTGGAACACTTTGGTTACACATGTTTGCTAATAAACATTGAAATATGTTACAAGAATAAGAAACCTTTATGCTAGGTGGAAGTTCACGATGTAGTTTAGCTAATGCGATTTCCTTCCATAAGTAGATTCAATTCTCTCATGACTACACTTGCTAGTTAATTTTCGATCTTCATTATTAGAAAATTTCAAACTATTGTTAAATAGTTCAAAGTAGAAAATGTATAGGCTTGTTCCAATAATAGAAAGTGTGAAAATTTTGGTTGACCAAAGATAATGAACAGCTTCAAATTAGAATTCACTGAGTAATTTTTGTGCTATTTTAATAATATCAAATAAGATACAAAAGCAATTGCAAAACTCAACTAGATTGTATATTTGCCTTTTACCTGCGATGAGTACAGTTTGATGAAACTGAAATACTAAGTCGAGATGATTGATGAGAATCTGTCCATTATCTTCATCAATTTTCAATGGTAATCGAACAATTAATTCTTGAATTTGCATAAATCGTTTGTTTGGTAAATAGATAAATCGAATTTCAGACTTTTGTTTAGCTATATGTAATGCATTTAAAACATATTTAAATTCAATCAATCGTTTCGTAGCTGATCGCCATTGTACAATAGTTTCATAGGAATTTGATATAAATGAAAGTGTCTTATGTACATTTTCGAAAGTTACTGCTATTTTTGTCAAATCACCAAGTGTAATTTCTCGAGAAAAATATTGTGGAGAAACAACAAGAAATGGAAAGATAAGCGCTAACATTCTGTAAAATGCATCAAAAGAATTGAGAACAAATTTTCGGCGAATAATTTGACGAAAATTAAACACTATATCAGCATACAATGATGTCAATAATGTCTGTTCATTTGATTCACTTCGATAAAAAGCAACAGATTCTGCATGATCTCGAAGACGAACAAGTTCATATCGAAAATTGGCTTCATAATGTTCTTGTACATATTTCAAATGAAATAGAGCTCGGCCAATCAAATTAGTAACCAATGCACCTTAACGAAAAATATCCAACGTTCACGTCGATATATAATCTTAATCCGAGAAAAAAACGGAACCGTTTCAAAAGGATGACTTATCTAAATTGTCAGTAAAATTTCTCGTCGAACGTAGTATCGATTTCTTAATTGATAAAATCTACAGAGCTCTGTTTGGATTGTATTTTTTTAATCAAAATTACAATTAATTTTTGGAGAATTTCATAAGAAAAAGTTGAATTTCGAGAAAATTTCTTAAAATTGTCTATAACTTGAGCAATGTGTTACGAATAAAAAAGAATGTTTATCTTACATCCGAAAAATTCTTCTTGTCTAATACTATTTACTATTAGAAAAACGGCTTCGTTTTTACGTAGTAGGGGTTTTTCAGCAATCATTGGGGAGGGGGGGGGGAGCAACGCGAAATACTCTCAAGTTTGAATAACTGTGTGTTTCATTAATTATTAAATAAGATATCTGATATTGGGAGAGAGATTTGTCGTCACTTCTTACCTAATCCAGCATAGATAAGGGCAGACCAACCATAATTCCTTTTATTTCAAATGAAAAATTTTGAGCGAAACTTATTTTTATTACACCAGAGTGAGACCAGAGCACGACAATATAAGATATTAATGAAACACCTGCATTCAAGAGACCTATTAGTAAAGTATAGACATTTTCAACATATGCATTAATATCCATTGATATTCTTTGGTCTGGATGATCGTTTCGATCATCTATTGTTGGACAATTAGTTTTCAACAATGACATTTGATAGTAAGCATGTTTAGATAAATATTTGCTAAGGAAATCATTAGTTAACCAACGATGCCAACGAAGTTGTAGTAATTGTGCTAGATATTGTTTGCAAACTAATACGGTATAATGATTCCGATAGCAATAAAAATGAAATATAAGAGGGAACGAAGAAAGGCCGATCGATCAAATTTTATAAACGTATCGATAAGATCCTTGTTCCAATATGTCAATAATACATTCAAGCCGATACTAATCGATTCCAGGACGATCACAATTAGAAGCATAATTCGAGCATAGATACGTTCTTTTGAGAAGTACATATGAAAGAGACGCCAATTGTCGATGTATAAAGAAGTTGAAGCACTTATCGTTTTTTTTCTAAAGAAATATAAAAAAAATGAAAATATATAGAATAACAATCAGTTTTTATAAATCGTTCGTGAGCAATCAAGCTTCCTCTTTTCATTCATACAGCATGTTCTTGTTCTAATCCATACATCAAGCAAAAAGTGTAGTGTAACATGTTTATTAATTTGTTTGGAAACATATTCTTGTTGATCTTTGTTTTTTAAGTTATTTACAGTATTGCTTATTTGATCAAGTACTCACTAAGAAGTGAATAAGTGGGAATAGAAACTGCGAGATTATACAGAACCATTTACTAGTATTCTATTACTACCTTAATGGCATTACATTTCTATTTCTTTCGTTTGTAATGAATATAAATATAATAGTCATCATCAATTCTTGCTTGCATAGGCAAAGAAAACTATTTTTCGTCGAAATAATACAAATAATTATAAAATGAAAATATGATTAAGATACACAGGATTCAAAATCTTTTTTCCACAAAAGATGCCAAAATTTTGCTGAGTACAAATGTTATAACACAGAGATAGTGTGGCACTTGATGAAAGTAAATGAATAATTAGTTTTATTTTGACTTTCTACTAAAATAAATCATTGTTTTATTGTTGCTAAAAATTATTAATATTACATGAAAAATTGTACTTCTACGTCAGATTAAAATGATTTTCTATAACGATGAGTGACCACTGTTTCGGACTGGTCTATTGATTATCATTAAAAGATGAGAAACATTTTTTTATTCTGTTCTTTATAAATGAAGATATTAAGTAAAACAAACTGACTGCTTTCCCCCTTTCAAATAGATTCTCTTTGTTGAAGTCGACAGTTTCTTCTTTAATAGGTATTTTTAATTGATCAATCGATCTCAAGCAATTCTATTGTTTTAGATAGAAAAAAAAAGCGAATTTTCTCTCGTTTGTATCTTTGGTTGAGTGGAAATGTGGATCTAGAACTATTAAGAATTACGTTATAGAAAATGTTTATTAACATATGTTCTTTCACTCGAGACATGAAAATTGGATTTTAATCGCGATATAGATCTACGTGTCGATTAACTTCATCATTTCTATGCTCTTATTCGCTCACTATCTTATTGTTTGTATGTAATTTTTTCAATTCTTCTCTTTCATTGTAGTTTTTATTTTCATTTTATTTTTCTATGTTATCACGGATTCAAAAGTCATCTGACGAATGATAGAGAAATTTCATCGATCCGAGAAAGGAACTAAAAGGTTATATGACAAAAAACTCAAATATAAGAAGAGTCATTTGTTTACAATGATACTACTTTATCGATAATTCATCAAACAACCTAGGGGATATATGTTGAAAGAAACCAATCATAGCTTGATTTTTTTGAGAACATTCATATGAAANTATCACACAAGTCTATATTTCGGAAATATTGAGATAATACCCTAAGCTGATTTCGAACCTAAAAACAAATATCACCATTCAACTCAGCATGATGAATTACCCCATCCCAGCCCGTTTCCTAGGTGATCCAAGGTCAATTGGCTGAAATCATGGGTCTCAGGAAAACTCTTATAACTCTTGAACGGAACAAGCTAGAAAGGCGGGCTTTTCGTAGATCGAAAGGGAACAATTTTTTCTATCAAAAACGTAAATTAACAATCGAGCAAAGTTGAGAAACAGCTCCAGAATACCGTGCTTAACATTTCCATCGAGAATGCATCTGATTGGTCCATTGCTGACCAATTATATTTTACCATATGTGGATGCTCCTGGGTGTTTTCTTTCTAATGGTGAAAACCGCAAGTCGCTAGCGGCATCCGTTCAGGAGATATTCCTCCTTGAGTTTTCTCCATCTACTTCTGGCGCCGACATTAAATAATATACTTTTTTATATAAAATCAAAGTTTGAAAATCACACTCTGGCTGTGAAAGTATCTGACGAATGTCGATTATTCTCTTGGTGCAAGTCAGTGTATAAGATGACCGAATCCGACTCGAACTCGAATATAAAAAGAAGTGCCGGTCTGGATCCAGTTGCGAAAAGTCGTATTCGTGCAAGACACTAAATAGCATCAGAGGAAAACCAACCATTTACATATCAATATACCATCGATGTAACTTACATTATACCTAAACAATTTACTTTCATTTTTTGTTCGATTTGAATCGCATGAGTAAAAAAAGACGAATAACTTCTACAGAGAAATAAAAAATTTGTTTTCTTTTATTGAAAAGATAAAAATTCTAGAACATCCTCTATATGTTTTCTACTGACATCTGTTACAGCCATCTATCATTTAAAATATCCAATGAAAATAATCGTGTAGATTTATCATCCATCGTATCGTTTATATAAACATTATTATCACTCAAGATATATAACGAGTAACAAACAAAAATGGAGTAGATCAACAATGTTGTAGAACTCAAATTGATGGATCTATTCTTATATTTCTATGTAAAACGTTTGGTTAACAAAATAAATAGAATAAGTCGATTATTATTTTCGTTTTTCTTTTATTTGTTCTTATAGAATGTTAAAATTTACCATTGATTGATCGACAAAACTAATAATTTATACGTGTCATGTTTTAGTTTAGATTCATTTGAAATTTGATCTTGCCTGTGTTGTTTGATTCTCTTTTACTTTTCTCACCCTGACATTTATGTTTTTTTTGTTCTGTAACTGTAAAGAACAGCATGGAAGCTAGTGCATAGAAAAATATATGAGAAACACTCGCATGCAGAGTACTTATTATCATTCTATGTAGCTTCATTTGATCCTTACGTAGGAGCATGTATATATCCCCACGCAAAGTGTAGGATGCATAGAAAAAATTGGACAATGCAGATTTTCTGTTCTTTTATATTTCTTTCTTTGACAAATATCTATCGACATAGAACAAATAAATATAGTGAAAATGGTCGAAAGTTCGGTAAAAAATAAAGGTCAATAATAAGCACTTCTGTATATTCATTTAGAAAATGTCGATAGTAAGCAATTAAAAAAGATTTATATATATATCTAAATGGCATTTAGTAATACTATTGATGAAATATCTATAATGAATGAAGATAATTATTCACAACAGCAAATTAACGAACAATCATTAAGACAAGATCTTGAAAAAAATCGTGAATGTAAGTAAAATTTTAAATTTATTTTCTTTCCTTTAATTACTCATGTTTTTTTTTGTTTCTTAATAGCACTTCAACGAAAATTACAAACACGTCGATCTCTACAACAACTTGTTGATGTTGGGATTATGCCAACACCTAAAGTTTCATTACCATTTTATCAACAACGTAAACAATTACAAATGCGAAAAGTATTTTGATATAAAATTTAAAAAAAAAAGCATTAATTTATATTTTTTCTAGACAAAAGATATATTAAAAAATAAAATTCTCTTTCGACCTGATCGTCAATTATTAATTGAACATAATATTCTATCGGATACAACAGCTGCTCCAGCTATACAAAAAACTCAATGTCAATTAAAACGTGCACGTTTAGTTGATAATCTTAATAATAAATTATCTGTACGTCCTGGTATCTTAGAATTAGTAGCAAATAATATATTTGAAATAGATTCAGATCTTAAACAAGCTATACAAAATGGAAATATTCAATATCCAAGTGTATCACGACCACTTCGTCATAAAACATCATCATTTTCAAATACAACAATATTTAAACGTTCATTAAATTCCATACCAAAATCAAAATCATGTTTAACATTTCATGAATATAAAGGACCATCACAAAAAGTTGAAATAACGAAAGTTCCTTTACAATCAACAATAAAAACAGTTGAACATAATCGCACATTAAGTGAAAATCATTATAGAATTCAATTACGACAACAACAATTATTTCTTGAACTTATTTATAATAATAATGAATCCATAGAAAATCAAGATAATTCAATAGAAAATTTTTTACAACAATCAATCGATGATATTCTAAAATCAATATCTAATGATAATCAATCATTTGAAACAATGAAATTAGCTGATTTAAAAACTGAATGTAAAAAATTAAATATTAGTTCTACTGGCACTAAAATGAAATTAATAGAAAAATTAAAAAATGCTCGAATGAAAATGACAGGTAGAAATTATTAATAAAAATCAATCGATTTTTTTTTCTAAATATTTCTTGTTTGTTTTAGAGAAAACAACTGTTCCATCTCAGTTGATCAATAATGAACCATCATTATCTGTTAAATTTTTGTGTAAGGAATCAATATATTGATCGACTCAGAGAAAAACTTGTATTTGATAATTGATTTTTATGATTATAATCAATTATTTCTATGGATTTAGGATAGTTGCTCACATGGATATGGGTGCGGGTTTAGATGGAGAAAAGATTCACTTGCATCCATATCCGTGAGCAATTGTCCTGTGAACAAATGTCCAACTTCTAGTTCAATCACTAATGTCGACAGTTAGTCTGAGACTTTCGAAAAAGTTTCAAATCATGTCTAGATAAAAGAAACTTATGGATAAAGATTTGTATCGAAATCAACACTCACTCAGATGCTTCGTTCGTGTGTGGAAAACTGGAAAAATATTTTCATTGAATATTTAATTGCGCTAGTGCTCAAAATTATAAGAATAAAGTATCTTTTTCTATGTCGTAAAGTGCTTAATACAAATCCCAATAGTGATTTGGATAGCCAATAAATTTCCCTTTCACATGCAATATAATCAGGGTTTCATACTTCGACTATGTGGGAAAGTTTTCATGTCTGAGAAGATGTTAAAGAAGCTAGCTTTTGATTATAACATCTGAAGGAGTACAAAATTCTGAGTAATGTGAGGAGTTCCAATGGTTCTTATGACCTTCTATTACAAAAGTTTAGATATTACTTGTCAGAAAAAAAGTACTTTTTTTAGCGATTTTGATAAATTTTGCTTTGTCTCGTATTTTGTGATGTTTGTAATTCAGTAAGAGAATGTCGTAGTAATTGCAGAAATTCCTCATATTGTTGAGAATTTTGTGCTTCTTCAGATTTTGTTGTTAAAAACGAACTTCTACAACATTTTCTCAGACCTGAAAATTTTCCTACATAGTCCACTTATGAAACGTTGATATATTGTGTTTTCGATAGANTTTAGCGATTTTGATAAATTTTGCTTTGTCTCGTATTTTGTGATGTTTGTAATTCAGTAAGAGAATGTCGTAGTAATTGCAGAAATTCCTCATATTGTTGAGAATTTTGTGCTTCTTCAGATTTTGTTGTTAAAAACGAACTTCTACAACATTTTCTCAGACCTGAAAATTTTCCTACATAGTCCACTTATGAAACGTTGATATATTGTGTTTTCGATAGAGAACTTCATTGACTATCTCAATCACTAATTACTTGGATTCGTATTAGGTATTTGATAGTTTAGAAAAAAAAATACCCTAATCTTATCACTTTAACCACCAGTACTGTACATAAATGCCCCATATGATTCCGATCGAAAAAAAACTGTCAGTATACCTGTGGTGATGGTGGTGCGAACAAATGTGCAACATGAAGTTAGAAAATAGAATTTATATTCGAGAAAAGATAAACTTTCTCACTAGATAGAGTTCTGATTGATTGAAATATTTTCATCTGAATATGTTATTTATTTTAGTATCATCATCATTAAATGATCAAGAACTTTACCAACAACAACAGAAATTAGTTGAAGTAGAAAAATTAAAACAATACGATTCTTCTTTATTATATCAAAATCAATTATCTTTAAATTTTCAATTTATAGATAATTCTACTATTGTAATAAAACACAAAATAAAAATCTTAAATCTTTCAACGTTTTCTTTCGTTTTAGATTCCACAAGATTGTAATCCTATTCTATCAACACAAATACAAAATCGTATGAATAAACTTTATTGAAATCAATAAATTATTCTTTTATTTCATAGAAATTCTTATACAACAACAAGAACAGTCAAACCAAAATCTTCAACAGCATACAATCGTACCTTTAACACCTGAATCTGTTGCACAATATCTTGCTCAATCACAAAAGTCAGATAATCATTCATTATCAACATATCATTCTATCGATTCTTCATCAACTCCAATATTTACAAATCAATCAGTATGATATTTATTTGAATTTGAATAAAAATAAAATCGAATTTTTTTTGTTTTTCTTAGACAAATAGCGATGTTAGTTTTAATCTATTGGATGATTATACTGGTAAGAAAATGAGAAATCTTAATATAGTTTTACAAGATTTCCAAACAGAAATATTTTTTTTTTCTTGTTTGTTTGAAAAACATTTTTCATTTCTATTTTAATTTAGATTCATCTTCAACATTTACATTTACATCTGATGATTCAATTTCAAATAACACATTTTTATCGTCTATAACAGATATGGATTGGATGGCGATTCCATCTCCTAGTATACTTGATAATAATCTGGATTTTACACAATTTCTTAATCAGCTTGATAATGATCATCATCATCTTTTTGATTCAACATCTCAACAACAACAACAACAAAATCCACTTTTATTCGATCTTTTTTCTGCATCAAGTTCACTGATTTAATATAAGTCTTTTTATATATGTATGTAGGTATGTGACAATTTCATATATTTTTTCAATAAGTTGGTCATATAAATGGTTTTCTATGATAGCAAGTCTAGTGAAGATACTTAATTCGAGAAAGTTAAACATTGAGATATTGCAAAAAACCTCACTCGCATTTAACCGTTCGTGAAATTCATATAAATCAATTGTTTTGCTGCATGTTAACAATATTTTACCATGTATATTTTTAATAAAAATATTATCTTTCAATATATTGACAAGTGTTTTTTATTATATTTTTTGTTTGAATTCATTCGTAAAACGTGATAGAAATGCTTGATCAGTTAGAAAACGTTGATATTTTTGTTTTCTTTTAGTATTTAATGGTTGATAAGGACGTATAATTGGATCATTCATTTCTGTATGAGGGGAAAAACCAAATGGACCAACATTCATTTGATGAAAACGATATTTTAAAAAATCTTGTCCATGATAAATAACTAAATCTGGATTATTATAAATTTCGTTTGGATCAAAACCATGTGCTTCCATTTGAAACCATGTTGAACCATGTATTGAAGTTTTTCCAAATAGTAATTGATGATCGAAAAAATTAATGCCATATTGTTGTAGAGGTACGTCACGATAATGAGATGAAAAACGTGGATGAGCTGATGAGAATTTTGACCATGTATTGTATAGATGACCATGATCGAGTGCAATGATATGAGAACCTTGCCATAAATCGACCTAGAAAGAAAAAAATAATAATAAATGACTTTATATTTTAAAAGACACTAACTAGAGTAACATCGGTTTCAGACATAAGACGATGAAGAAATTTCTGTTTCATTGGAGAAAGATTTAAATTTCGAACATTTCGTTGAATTTCAGAAGTACGACGATAAAATTCTTGTCGTGTTGAGGGATATGGATGATCATCGAGAACTAAGGATACGATACTATAAAGGCGTCGTAAAACTGGATCATTTTCAGCAATAGTTGTCGGTAAATGGAAAAATCGATCATGACGATATGAGATTTTTCGTTTTGGTGTTGAGGAGGAACGAGTATTTGGGTGATGAAGTCCTTGATGAGGATAATGTATCATTGCTTTATATATAAATATATTGTTTATTACTTAAAATGTATGTTTGATCAGTACAATATACGTTTAGAAATAGAAAAGGGACGTTATGCGCAATATGAGTCAATCGCCATCAACCGTGACGGTGGTTAAAATACAACTAATAAAATAATATAAAACGTTTTACATTCTATAATTATTTATCATAATGGGAGAAAAAAAGAAACGTTCTTTTATTTTTCAATTAAAATAAAAATTGACATAAAGACTTCAGATACGAATAGCATGTTGTTTTTTAAGTCAATGTTAACTTGTATATTTCGTTGACAGACTTGTTTCAATAGGACTACTATGATTAATCAATACTTTCATCAAATAAATCAGACATTTATGGTCTCCATATGAAAATTACGTGAAATTTTGTCGTATCATAAAACGTGTATAAGTATTATTTTATGAACTGTCGATGTCCAAAAAAGATAATTTAGTTCGAAATTAATTTACGACATATATTTTCTCATAACTTCAGTTGAATAAAAATTACATTAATAGAAAATTGTTGTCATTAATAGACGTCGTTTGAAATCTTAACAGATTTCTTTTATGTTTGCTGACAATTAGTCATAACTGTAATATGAAATAAAATATTAAGCATATTAAATAATTCCATTCGATCAAAAAAGAAAACTCTATGAAGTTGAAGTTTTCACATCCGATATCAACTTACAGTAAAATAAAACGTGGTTGCCACAATCTCTGCTGGATTAAAATTTGAAACACAATGCATCTGCCTCAATGGCAGATGAATCATAATTTATTACAGTGAGCGTGATAAAAAAGCAAACCGTTTATGTTAAATAAAATCGTGTTATACGATAATCCTATAGTAAACTTAGATTTCATATCTATACTTGTGTGTGTGGAGGGGAATGGATGAGAATTCCTACTCCTATACTTCCTAACTTCTTTTAGATCGTGTTTTACAAAAAAAAATAATTTTTCGATTCTATTTTCAATTTTTATTTTTTTATATCTTTGCTGAATATTGTAGATATTCGAAATTGTTTTTATGTGGATCAATACGAGTTTTAATTATCTATTTTGTTGGCTTCTTTCTCATCCGGCTTGACAAAAAATAAAGAAATTAGAAAAGTATATACAGTCTTGGACAAAAGAAATTGTCTCTCATGAAGTACTATTATTCTTTATGATATTGAACTAATATTTTGGATACATGCGTTTAATAATAAACTTTGATCGCAAGCACCATTTCACCTTCGATTGGTTGACATGCAGTGGAATTATGATTTAGACATCATCTTTCTCTTTTCATTGCCTTATTTCAAGCATATTGGCACAAATGTTGAGACATTGCCTTCTTATTAAGAAGATCTGTTGAGAAGCAAATGCATGTTCTTAGTAAGATGAACCTTTTCCACAATGACACTTTGATCGATTCTTCTGAAAATGCTAATAGAAAATTTTTATGAGACGACAGGTCTCTTCTCAACTCTTTCGAGTTGCTTAAATTATAAAAGGAAATATTAGTTTACAGAAGTTGCATTATTGTCTCAATGAAGTTTCTTCATTGAATTGCATTCAATTTGCAGAAGATTCCAGAAACATTTTTCTTTTGTTTTTATGAAAAATTTCATTGCTTTTGCCGTTTTTGACACTAAAGCCTTTTAGCTATTGAAATGTTTCTTTAGATTCTTTCTAGCTTGTGATAAGAGTTTATTATCATACGCATGCACCTAAAATATCAGTTGAATATCATAAAGAAAAGTAGCACTTTATGAAAGATGGCTGCTTTTGTTCAGGACTATATGTGTACGTTCGCTGATTAATTATCATTTTCTCTTTATCTAGATGACTGAAGCGACTCCAGATGAAATTGTTCCATTAGTATTTAAACCGAATCGTATTTTACCTAAAACTGATACACGAACTCGATTTCAAAGAAATTTAGCTGTTAGTTTGATTCTAATAAGTGCTGGTCTTGAACGATTAGCATTCTATTCATTAGCTGGTAATCTTACTTTTTTTCTTGATTCAACAATAATTAAATGGAGATTTCCACATACTATCATTGCTCCACTTATTTTTCTTGGTAAAAACAATTGAATGAAATCTATTTGTGAATAGAAAATTTTGTTTTCTTTTTCCTCAAGGTACAAGTTATATTTCAGCATTAGTATTTTCTTGGATAAGTGATGGCAGATTGGGACGAGCAAAAACAATTATGATCGGTAATTTAATATTATTATTTTCTTTCATATTATTCAAATTTTTTTCAACGTAGGTTTTACTATATATAGTATTGGTTATATATTTATGATATTATTTGCAAATGAACATACACATCGAAATTGGTGTCCCAAACCTAATAATGATACAAACACAGAAACACCCGATTTTTTTCATGAACTTTGTGTTAAATACATTCTTCCAACCCTTATTTTTACGTAATTATATTTTTTTTGTTTGTTTTCAAACAATAAAATAATATGTTCTGTGTGTAGTGCTATTGGTGTCGGAGCAGTACAAGCTAATATGGCTGTGTTTGGTGCTGAACAAGTTCGAGAACAAAAAAGTAAAACACGATATTTCGATATATATTATGCAGCGGTCAATACAGGTGGACTTATAGCTTTTGGTGCAATTGCTTATTTACAAATTAATAAAGGTTATTTCGTTGGATATTTAATTCCTGGTATACTACTTATTTTGGCTTTTATATTATTTCTTGTGGGTTATAAATGTTATATTCATATAAAACCACATGATTCAGTGATTACAAAATTTGTTCCTATTATTATAAGTGCATTTCAATCATGGATAAATCATCGAAGAAATCGACGCGGAATAATCGATAGCAGTGAATCACATCCCGAAGAAACAATTGTAGAAGCTGAAGGTGATAGTAATGATTATTTATCATTTACTATAAATAGATCAACATGGTCATTCTTTGATTATGCTAAAGTGGAGAATAATGGTCGATTTTCTAGTCGTATTGTAAATGATATTAAATCACTTCGACCTATTATTGTTGTATTTCTATTATTAACACCCTATTGGCTTCTTTATGTTCAAGTAAATTTCTATTTTATTTAGTTGATTTTGTATAGAATTTAATTTACGTAGGTTGAAACAACATTTATTGTTCAGGGTGCTCATATGAAATTACCGAGTTTTTTTAAAGAAATGCCTGTTGTTTGGCTTTCTCTTGGAAATCAAATAATAATAATTGGTGAGTAGTACTCTCATCTTTAGATTACAGTGAGTAGGAATATTTTTTGAACCATTAAATGATATGATTAATTGTATAAGAGACAAAAGGGTGACCTAAAATGAATAGGTGGCTTTTCTGTTTTTATCATGTAGGATTAGTATATTCTATTCGAAAAATAAACATACCAGAAGATGTAACGTGAAAAACTCTAGAAGTTACCATAAAAATTTGATTTTCCAAATACACTGCGTTCTGTGCGAACGTAATCATTTGTTGATAAACGATTATTTGCATTCTTTTATATCGTAAATTGAAGATCATTCTGTTTATTGATGAACAATCAAGCATAAAACCAAAAGATTAAGTATTTAAAATGAATTATGTCGTTGTAAGGTGCATCTAAAAATTATCTGACATGTCGAATTATATTAAAATTTGATGAAACATTATCACATAAAAATTATATTGCAGTTGTTTTCTCACATGCACATTCTAAGAGTAAATTCTTTCCCCGTGACAATTTCATCTATCAACAAGACTAGTCACATTATATACACATCAACAATCATGGGCATAGTTTGAAAAGAATTTCATTCATTTTATAAATAATCTCATATGATCACTCAATTTTGATTTCAATATTTTGAATTTTTACATATGAAACACGATCGCCAATAATATGCAATAGAATAGAGTTACAAACTATGATTTTTTAATTGATAAAATAAGAAAACGAATTCTTTCTGTACTAAAAAAATTGATTATGTTCGCATCGTGAAAAAATTTAGTTCTATTCTAAAAACAAAACTTTATTGTAACTTGTAGAGATTTTCACATATTTTCTTTTTCGAATGAAATGTATTAAATGCTACGAAAGAATCGACTATTCATTATGGGCTACCCGTTATGTATGAATTTTGAAAGAAAATAATTGAAAACACGAAAACTTTCATCTTAATTGCATTTCAACTGGATAATATTACTTATGCAAACTTTTATATCATTCCTTTTTCAAAGATTTTGATGAATGTTCAAACGCGTTAATTAGAATCCCGTGAAACAGTCCAAAATTCTATCCTGCGAAACAATCAGAATTGTATCGATAATTTGTTTTTGACATTGAAACATTTTGAAATCCTATGCGAAGTGACAGATGGGATTCGAGAGACAAAAACTTCAGTCTCATACAACTATAGTTTTAATATGTGCTAATGACATGATATCATATTTTTTGTGTTCTGTTTAATCTAGTTACTATTTTCCTGCTGAATGCATTTGTCTATAAACGTCTTCAAGCTAGTGGACGATCATTTCCAATAAATACTCGCATAGTTATTGGTTTAATCACAGCAGCACTTTCGATGTGTATGGCAGGTACGATTGAAATAGTTCGTCAAAATATTTGTAAAACTCAAAATTTCACACAAACTATTGGTATATATTTTGTACTTTCATTTTCAGTGTAATTTGTTTTTTTTGTTGCATGTTCTAGGTGATAAACAGTATCTAGCGGCTAATATGAGTGTATTTTTTCAATTTCCACAATATGTTGGTATTGGTCTTTCAGAAGTATTTACTTCTGTCGCAAGTCTTGAATTTGCTTATTTGGCTGCACCGCAGTCAGCTCAATCATTAATAATGAGTCTTCGATTTTGTTCAGCTGGTCTTTCATCACTATTTGGTTCGGGTATTGTTGGTCTTATGTCAATAACGGTAAAACATAGAACATGAAATGAAATAGATAATACTATTATGTATATTCATTTTTTTTTTCCTTTGAATATTTTAGATTGGAAATCAAACATCAGAAAATTATATTAATGACGAGCGATATTACATTTATTTCTTTGTCTTGGCTGGTCTTCAAGTTGTTTTCGTATTAATTTTTATGGGATGTAATCAAAGATATAAAATACTTAAAATACCAAATAATCATTTGAATACACGTCATTTTATATTGCCGAATTCGGATTCATCAAATGCTTAATTCGTCTATCTATTTTGCTGTAATTTTCTTTATTTCATGATTTATATGTTCATTGTTATTATCGCTTCGAATACAAATATTTTTCATCTACTTCTATTTTTGAAAATGTTATACTTCTTTTGTTTTTTGAAAACATATCCGTGTGATCAATATTACTCATGCATTTGTAAATGTATTATACTAAGGAAATTTATCTTTTCTTTTCCCTTCAAAGAAAAATCTTCTATAATTAATGTTGAAATTTTAATAATGATTATTAATGTAAATGGGAATAAATATACTATTCATGTATAGATAAAGATTTGTATTCATTCGAATATTTAGTTTGACTAGTTCTACTCAAGACTATTGATTTTATCAAGGAGCTTGGCATTTTTCTCATAGATATTTTAGACTATCTCAATCGAAATAATACAAAAACAAATTTTCAGACATTTCATTTAAATGAAAATATTTCGGATTTGATTGATATTTGAACACTCAAGTCTCATTTGAGATTTCAGGGATTACCCTAAGGTAAAAACTTCGTGGGACAAGGATGGAGTTGTGCCAGTTCCTAGAGCATGAAATCAAATTAGAGATATCCATAGCGGCACTGCCGCCGTCACTTGCATCTGATTTGAGTGTTTACAAGTCCAACCATCAGAATTGTGGTGAATCTAATGGATTTAATGTAACTGTACTAATTATGCATAGTGATGGAAGAGATTTTTAGCCACGATAGACATCTCTGTGGCAAAGATAATATTTCTTCCTTGTTAGGAATGTAGTTTGGGTGCAATTTTTATATCTACGATGCTCAGATTTGTTTTATTTTAGCAGAAACTGTAATCAAAATTGGTCAAAACTTCGTATTTTCTAGTTTTTCTCGATCCATTCCAACAGATTTTGATATCGGTGTTTTGACATTCGATAAAACCTAAGAATAGATTCAGAAAAAGCGTTCAAAAGTAATCACCATTAACATGAAGAATTGATAACAACCAGATAATTTTCACTATTAGAAATATTCTATACTCCGATTAGAAATTCAAGGAATTAGTTTGTCCCTGCTTACAAAAACACATGCTTAGTATTGAAAATTATCGAACTTCTAGCGATTCTTCATACTATATAGTAGTCGCGATCAGTTTTGAATGCTCTTTTCGAAGCTATTCTTAGACTTTGTCTAATGTCAAAACACCGGTCTCAAAACCAATTAGAATTGATTGAAAACACTAAAAAGAAATGTGAATTTTCTTCCAATTTCGAAACCTTTATTATATAATTCATGAATTTTGACAACAGCTTTGGCTACAGCAAAAAACTGACCAAAGTTGATATTAATAATATACAGGAACTACATATTTGACAATAAGGAAACTATCATCTTTGACATCATGTTCTAGGAATTGACACATACCTAGGTAAGAGTCAATGAATTTTATAAAAAAAAGTTCATCCTGCACATTTCTAATTTTTCATATACATTCCAACATTTCAATTGTCACATCATCAATTCTTCCTACCTATTGAGAGATTTAAAAAAGAACATTTACTGAAATGTACTTGATTTGTTGTGAATATTTCCTCTTTTTCTTCTTCAAACAACAAGGAATAGATGTTTGCTGTATTCTTTTTATTTTTTATTTCTTATCTCTCGTAAACTATTTTAGATATCAGAAATGTATACTATCAAAAAGATTATATATATATATATATTGTTGTTTTCATTTTATTCTATAATAGATAAACATGGATGTGCTGTTTCTTTTCTTTCATATAATAATTCACTATTTTTGTTCATTTGTTTAGATGACAGATACAAGTGTTGATGAAGTATCTCCTCTTATATTTCGTAATACATATATTTCAAATGTACCTGATAATCGAACCATATTTCAACGAAAACTTTCTGTATGGTTAATTCTTGTAAGTGCTGGTCTTGAACGATTAGCATTTTATTCATTAGCGGGCAATCTTATTTTATTTCTAACATCGAATAATATTCATTGGACATCTATTCATAGTGTTACTGCTTCATTTATATTTCTTGGTAAAAAGAATTGAATTTCAGAAATTTTTTTGTTAGAGATCCTTTTTATCTTTTAGGTACAAGTTACATATCATCGCTTATTTTTGCTTCGATAAGTGATGGTAAATTAGGGCGTGCAAAAACCATTATTATCGGTAATAAGTTTCATCTGTTTTACAATGTTTAATTATGTTCTACAGGTTTTATTCTATATATTATTGGCTATGTATTTATTGCATTATTTTCCGATAATGATAAGTTTAAATTGTATAGTAAATTTTGTGGTACAGTAAATTTTACAAGTTCAATAACACCGGAATTTTTCGAAGAACAATGTATTCCTCAAATTCTTTCAACATTAGTTTTTACGTAAATTTAATTCATAATATTACAAACAGAAAATATGTTTTCTTATTTTTTCATAGTGCCATTGGTGTGGGTGCAGTACAAGTTAATATGGCTGTATTTGGTGCTGAACAAATACGAGAACAAAAAGCAACAAGAAAATATTTTGATAAATATTATGCTGTAATTAATACAGGTGGTCTTATTGCATTTGCTTTTATTGCTTATGCACAACAAAATGATAGTTATTTTATTGGTTATGTAGTTCCAACAGCATTATTAATAATAGCTTTAATATTATTTTTAATTGGTTATAAATTTTATATTCATATTCAATCACATGATTCTGTTATTAGTAATTTTATTCCTGTTTTAATAAATGCTTTTCAAACATGGAGAAAGCATCAAAAAAATATACAAGCATCAATTACTAATCAAAGATCTTTCAATTCTTCAACATTATTAGGTTATCAAAATGAAACTAATGATCAATTATCATTAACAACAAGTAATAAATCATGGTCATTTTTGGATTATGCAAAAATACCTAATCAAGGACGGTTTATGGATCGTGTAGTAGATGATATCAAATCGCTTCAGCGTATTATTGTTGTTTTTCTTCTTCTAATACCTTATTGGCTTGTCTATTTTCAGGTAAAGATATGTTTATAGTTAAAAAGAAAAGTTTAATTTTTTTGAAAAAAAAAATATAATAAAACTTCTCTATATGAGCACCTTCCTGATACTGCGCAATCTACAGTTCATCCAAGCGAATTTTCCTCCGAATGAGCATCTTCTTTTTGTGAGCAACACAGGTTCTACCACTCACGTACAACACGAGGGAAAATGATGTTATATGTATTGCCTTATGATAAACAACTATGGAAAACATAAGCAAAGGGAATAGAACAGATACGAATATTTAAAAAACCAATATTAGACAACAGTAACAGTGCTCGGTTTAGTATCTCGTCTTTTTTTTTAATGTTAATAATCATAGTTCTTTGGTCTCAAATTCAGGTTGAAAAATGATTTGTTTAGTCATTTTCCTTGAAACTAACTTTTATCATTTGGTCACTATACTTGGAAAGTACATTTCTTTTTCTGACCATCTCAACTAATAGTCTTCATACGGAATATCATCACCAGTGAACATTCAGTTTGTAAATCAATCTCTATTTTTTTTTATAACTACATGAATAAGAATACATAATTAAATCACCTTTTGCAAGCCATAGCCACTACGTATAAGAAATATGTTACATTGATATAAAAAAAGTCAAGATAAGATAAGTATCACGGGTGCATTAAATGAGTCACGACTGCTGTTTGTTAACGGTTGTCGCCATTTAAAGTCTAGTTAATTGTAGCAGATCTATGTCTCTATATATGATAAAAAAGTACAAAAGAGAAAAAAGATCCTCTGATTTAAAAAGTTGAATGAATAAATAAATTGTTGGTAAGAAGAAGAAATAGATTACACAATGCAGTCGACAAGCAATCACAACTGAATAATATTTATAGGTTGTAAAAAAATAAACTAAAAACTTTCAATAATAAGCATCTCCATAAAGTGAGCACTTTTGGCCAGTCCCAAATTTTTACAAGATAGTTTTTGTTGCATATATGAATGAAACATATATATATATATTCATTTAGATTGAAACAACTTTCCTTGTACAAGGTGCACATATGAGAGTAATAAAAATCCTTCGTATAGACAACCATCAACACTATATGCCTGTTATTTGGCTTTCACTTTGTGATCAAATAATTATTATTGGTAAGTTATATAATAATTGATTTTAAGGAATTTCATTAGAATTTTATGAAGTAATTCGTATAAATTTTGTTAAGAATTACTATTTCAAATGGTACGAGATAGATAGAATACAGTTACAGATCCAAAGAACAATAGTATTCACACATTTCATTAGAAATGGTAAGATTTAAATTCTAATATTTTTATGAAATGTCATCTAAAAGGAGTGTTGAAGTATATAGTGGTAAACATTTGAATCCTCTTCTGTACGATTATTATAAACGAAGATAGAATTTAATTAAAATACTAGTCTTTGGGTCTCCTTTGACAAAATTTCTGTAACGTATTTATTCATGCGATCTCGTTCCATGTGTTAACATCCTTGTATAATGAAATAAGATTAATAGTTATGCTTATTTTCTTCTCTAGTTGCCATCTTTTTTCTCAATACATTCGTTTACAAACGTCTTGAAGCGAGTGGGCGATCATTTTCAATAAGATCTCGCATTGTCATCGGTCTTATATCAGCATCACTTTCTATGTGTATAGCAGGTACAGTTGAGATCTTTCGTCAAAAAAGATGTGATACATTACCAACTATTCCACAAACTATTGGTATGTATTAGATGACTATATTTCTCTTTACATCTTTGATTTTTATAATGTAGGCAAAACAAATTATACAGCTGCTGATATGTCTATATTTTATCAATTTCCACAATATATTGCTATTGGTCTTTCAGAAGTATTTGCTTCAGTTGCTAGTCTTGAATTTGCTTATATAGCTGCACCACAATCAGCTCAATCACTGATAATGAGTCTTCGATTTTGTTCAGCTGGTCTTTCATCATTTTTTGGTTCTGCTTATGTTGGTATATTTGTAAAAGTTAAAGAAAATCTCACTTTTGATAATTCAGAAGTAAGAAACAAAACAAAAGAATTTTTCTTGTATTCTGTTTTATTTTATAGTGTAAAGCTCGAGATCAACCTGAATTATTTTTTATCTATTTCTTTGTTCTTGCTGGCTTTCAATTCGTCTTCCTGTTAATATTTCTTGGTTGTGATATAAAATTCAAAATACTCAAAATATCAAAACAAAGATTTAATACACGATTATTTGTAGCACCAAATTCTCGTTCATCAAGTACTTGATTATTGGATTTTTGAATAAAATGTTTTATTCATTTGTATTATTTTTTTTTGTATATAGATAAAGGTATTTTACTTTTACCTTTTCTCTTGCTTGAAGTCTTTCAAAACTTAATTAAGTATCATACAAGTACTAAATACATGGTCTAATTTAAATATCATTACATGCTATTTTGAGAGTTTTTAGGCAAAAATAGACATGAACTATTCATAAATTTTTTCATGTCAAAACATTATGAAATAAAGAGGCGTATGCATGTGAGTCTTCTCTTCGGTACTATCCACATTATAATACTCATGCCCTCACATCTCTTTCTTTTCTTGGTTTTTAGTTACTATTTTCGAGCATCTACACGTAGTTAGGCATCCTTTATGAAATCACCGTCCAGTTCCGTCAACTATGCTGTAGTGGACGTGATTGAACTTTGAAAGCCTCTCATAATAGCGCTTGGACACATAGTAATACTTGAACTTATTAATAATTTCATTTGCAAAAAACTGGTTTCACTCGAACAAACTCTTCGAGTTCGATACTATCGCATTCGTGTATGTACAGGTATATATAAGTAATAGTAGCTGCTCTAGCGAAAAGATGATGAACTATTACAACAAGACAATTTGATTGATTTAGAAGCTAACCATATGATCAAACATAGATTGACATTTTTTGCAAAGACTTTTGCAATACATGTTAATTATCGATCAATTTATTTGCATCGAAGCATTATCACATAAAGATTGTTCTAAAGTCTTTTTCAGTTTAGCAAGATCCAAAAATGATTAACTTAAGATCAGCTAGGAAGGAGAGGTAATAAAATTGACTAATCACATGATCAACACCACCAAGTAGCCACTCTAACAAAACAAAACAAGCATTTTTGATATAGATTTTGTCAAAATGTGCCAGAAAGCTGAATTCCCTGTGGCGCTCAAAGTTAAGATTTGCAAAATCTGTTTGCTTTGAAATTTCCATAGGAGCTGATTAGACAGTCACCATTTCTAGTATCAATTTTTTAGCTGGCCGTCGGTATGTATTATTCTTTTTATTGATGAAGGCTCCCTCCCCCTCAAAAATCGATCTCAGCCCAGATATGTTCAAATGGGCTGAAATTTGGAGCATATGTTGGGGCTGAAGTGAGGAGGCTGTGGTAAAATTTTCAGCTCGATACTATGACGTTTGNAACTCACATGGTAATGGTATGTCCAATGTATTAACATTGTTGTTTTGATCGAATGCATTTTTATCTTTCAAATAGGGATTCTGAAATTGCCAATTGTCCTGTTTGGGTATTGTTGAAATTTGAGGTTTTTGAATTCCAGTCGATGGTGTTGATTTTTCAGAAGGTTTAGGACCCCAATATGGATTAACCCATGTACTTTTTGTTGAATTATTTAATGGTACTGATTGTTGATTTCCAATTCTGTTATTGTTCTGTGTGAATTGAGAATTAGTTTGATTTGGTTTAGGACCCCAATATGGATTAACCCATGTATTTTTTGTCGAATTATTTAATGGTACTGATTGTTGATTTCCAATTCTGTTATTGTTTTGTGTGAATTGAGAATTAGTTTGATTTGGTTGTGGTCCCCAATATGGATTGACCCATGGTTGAATGTTATTGTCTGTTCTCTCCGGAAAAGTTTGTTGTCGATTAAATGCAGGTCGACTTCGAGTATCAGCATTCGATGATGAACTTGATCGTCTATAACCAAAATGACTTTCAGGATTTGCAGATACTCCTGGTGATGATGTTACAATTCGACGTTGAATATGTGTTGGTGCAAGATAACCACCGGAACCAGGATTATCATATACTATGTATTGATCAGTGGGATTTAATGGATTATTCGATAAAATTGTTTGAATATATGTGTTTTGACTCCATAATAAATCATCAATTTCACCTTGATCATTAATTAATATCGAACCCGGAATAAGTTGATGGATACCCGTAGGCGCTGAAGAACTTTAAAAAAAAACGGGAAAAAATTGACTCACGAGAGAACATACCTAATTGCCAGATACCGTTCGACTTCATATTATAACTAAGACTAGATCTCGATGAGACTAAGACACACTTAAAAGGATTCAAACTCACAACCTCATTATAAAGAGTTATGACTGTTTCAATAAAATTGTACTGAGAGCAAGGCATTTTTGAAAAACTCAAAATAAATATTTTCGATTTGAAAAATTGTCAATAGGCACCGGGTTTGATTATTGTGTTCTCCTATAGTATATTGCAACTTTTTTAGAAAATACTTTTTTCTCAGTAAAAATTTCATTTAAGTGATCATAACTCTTTATCAGTAGACGGTGAGTTCGAATTCTTTTCAATTTATCTGAGTCTCATCGAGATCTACTCGGAATTATAAAATGAAGTCGAACGACGCCCAACAGTTGGGTATACTCTCTTGTCAATGGAAAATAATAAAAAAAACTATTATCTTACTATTGAATATTAGTATTTTTATTGATTGTATTCGCTTCTGATTGAGTTGCTGTTGTGTTTGGCTTCCAATTTGGACCCCAATATGGATTAACCCATGGTTTTTGCTGTTTATGAGCAATCATTTCATTGGATCGATTATCTTTGATTGTGTTCATGTCAAGTTTCATATTGATAACAGTACTAACACTTGGAGCTGTACTTGAAAAAGCCGAAGAATGATCATCTTCTATCGAATGAATATTTAACTGATCTAAGCCACTTGTTATTGGTTGATATTCAGGCGTTGTATTACTCTTGATATCACTAAAAGAACCAGTAAATGTTGTTCCTCTCGATGTTGCATTGGATGTTTCTGATGACATCGAGTCTGAATTCAAATGACTACGTCCTTGGTTGTACATCATTTTTAATTCGTTTTGTAAAATAATCTAATAATACAAATCAACGTAAACAAAAGTAAAGAAAAAGGCAATGATTAAATGAAATAAACGTTACTACTTACGTTTATCAATGTGTAAATATATACATATTTAGTAAGGAAGAAAAATTATGCTTTTTTAATGCAAGGTCACGAAAAGACAAAATATAAAAATATAAGTAAACAAATCAAGCATAAAAACTATTCGATATGAAAATATTACAAAAATGCTATATCATAACAACATTCTGAATCATGATAAATCAAATGTATGTCTATTGAAAATAATTTGTTTTACTTTTAAAAAAAATATCTTGTTGACAGTCTAATTAAACATAATTAACTGTTGAAATTACAAATGCCCTGTGTTTTTTTTTTATATAATTACAAGTATATATTATTGTTCTATATCGAGAAAATTTTCGATCGAAATAGATTGTCTTTCAGGGTAACACAAGGTCCTCCTTCAATAGTGACCAGATCAACAGAAAAACTTTGTTGCTGAAATTTAATTTTTCCCACTAACATGATACATAGAAGCATATGTATTAAATCACCTGACAATGCATACTAAAAGCTTCGAATTACTGTAAGGTGCACATAATGTGCAAAAAATAAGTGCTTTTTTTGCTTCATTCTATACTGTGAAATAGAGCACGAAAATCCATGTTTTAGAGAAAAAAACGTAAGATTAAGCAAGTATGAAAAATGATTCAAAACAGCAAAAGACCGAGTTTTTATCTGAAATTTCAATGTTATTCGAATGAGTTTGAAATGAAACTGTTGTTCGACATAAGTCTGTAGAATAAGAACATCCGAACACGTCTTTTTTTTTTTGTGATATTCATAAAGAATTTTGTAAACCTTTCTAATATTTGTATTAAGAGATGGAACCAAGTATCATGTCTCATGAGAATCAATAGATATCGTCCTTCAAACATACGCTATTAATTCTTTCACGTCGGATATTGTAGTACAGGAAACACATTCATCAAGATAACAATAAACAAAATCACGAGACGATGTGTCAATCTTTCTATTATTAACTACCAGAACCAATGACTGAATCCGAGTTTTATTGAAATTTTTTTTATGTATAGAGTTATTTCGATAGTTCTATGATTGAACAGGGAGATTTATATAAATTAATATGCATTGAATTTTTTTTTTTTTATAAAAACAAGTAATGATTCAATGATAAAGGAATTCCTTTTTTTTTTAAAAATATTATTATTGTTATTTAATTGTTCAAAACAGAACTAATTGGATTTTCATAAAATGTTATTTTAAGTGGTGTTGTTTCTTTTAATTTCATATACCAATAAACATTATTGAAATATAAATAGAAACGTCGTGTTAGAAAAAATGTTTCATAAATTTCTATTAAAGATTTAATCCATTCTCCTGTTGTTGGTTTTTTTGAATCAAAATTACGATAAAAATTAATAAAATCTTCATGAAGAGTTTTATTTTGAACTATTTGATTATATGTACCAAGTAATTGAGGTTCATATGAATAAATATTTATACGTGTATAATTCAAATGAATATTTGGTAACATTTGAGCACCATAACGATACAGTTGATTTAATCCACGAATAACAAAACTAGCACAATCATATGAATCGAAATACATTGTTGCATTAGGACCTTTAAAAACATAATGAATTCATTTTATTATTGGTTATCAATATGGATAGAGTCTGAATACTATCTTAACCAAAAAGTTCTTTGATACGAGAATAACAAAAAAATGTTTTGCATTATCAAGAATATATGCTTTTTAGTATCATAGATCATCTACATGCGGATTATTTTGTTTCTTAAGGAAAGTATTTGACTTTGAGTTTACATGAAAAGACAGAAGTTTCTCGTTATACAAACAAATTTTAATTTTACAGTTAGTACTATCAAGTCTTTATAGTTTACTCTAATTCATTCAGTGACATGATAAGCTATGAAGATCGTCATGTTTGAATTGCTACGTACTTCGGTACGTATCCATAAATTACTGTATTCAAATCTTAGTATCATAATCCATGAGATGGCTATGGGCAAATCACTAACCACTGTTTGTCTCAAGTCACTCGTTCGATAGCATGCTGATTCTGTTATGACATACACCTGCTCTTGAGGTTATTTAAATTGTACGGAGAATCTACAGCTAGTATTAGTTGTAGAGAAGACATTAAACTATTGAATCTGCTACTAAGCAACACTCCACAGTGAAAAATAGCTGAGAAGCAGCACTACACTTCTTCTTCAATCTATTTGAATTCTTATGAAAATATTGCATTGTCTCTTCCTATTAGGAGATCAAATGGCTCTATGTGTTTACTATTTGATTTTATTTATTGCATATCTTTTGTCAGTAACGAGTGGCGCAGATTAAATACAACAAGACTTATATTTCTTTTTCAACTAAGTTTTTCTTTTTGACGTAAAATCTAAATTCTCAACGCCTGTTCAATCATCTAACTGCGATTTTTGATCTTTTGCAAATATATATCAACTTGTTAAATCCATACAATAACGAAGTTAGCGTGAACGAATAGAGAATGTTTTTTCTCAAGGCTTCGAGTGTTGTCGTTTATGAGAAAAGACTTGAAAGCAATATCTAGTAATGGTTTTGTATGCATTCCAAGAAAACATATTTTTCAAAGCGACATTTGGCGCATGGTACAATCATTCTCATGCTGTTGGGTATAAAATTTAATTCAGAAATTTTCCCATATTTTACTTCAAGATTTTTTTTTTGTAAATATTTCTTCTAAAATTCAGAAATATAAACATGAAAAAATGCAGAATTTCGTAACATGCTTAAAACTTCAATAAACCTTTGTTTAAAAAAGTTCCATTACTTTTTATTTGTTTTTTTCACTAATGCATTTACCCTACACCCAAAAACTCTCTAGTGCATGACTTAATTCCATTTAATCTATGACATTCGTTACAAATTTTGTGGAATATATTCCGTAATATCACATTCAAATGAAGAATGTCTTGAAAAAGACATTTCGATAAATGCTCACCAATATCGGAATAGACTGTCCATGTTTCATAATAGACACCAGTATTATTATCACTCACAGCCCATGATGCCCAAGTATTATAATTTTTACCTATTGAAAGAAACATTTTTGGAATAAAAAACGACAAAACGAAAAGAAAAAAAAAAGAATATTCACCACTCATTTGACCAACTTTTTTCAACATGCTTAAATCCGATGAACCATTCCATAAGGAATCAACAATTCCTTCATAAACACATAAAGCACCTATAATTTATAATATATTTAATGACGACAATTAAAAATATTTAAATTTTACCTTGATCACACCATATAAATGAATCATTTTGAAGTACATGTGGAAATGTACAATTAAATAGTTGATCTAATTCATACCTTTATGAAAGTAAAAAAGATACATTTCATTTTTAAATGAATAAAATTTAATTTACCATTCCATTGTCCAATTTTGACCTGTTTTTTGACTACGAAAACCTAATGCATCATGCATAATTTTCTATTTTTCATATAAAGAAAATTATATAAATTTTATTTTAAAAATAATAACTTAAATAATACTCACAAATTTAGCCAATAAATCTCCAAATTTAAATGACCATACTGGTTTTTTAAGTGCAAATATTTCAATAATATCATTATCATCTTGTGCATAAATCATTGCATCTTCACCTTTACCAGTTGGACAAAATGCAATAAGACCTGCTTGACAATATGGATTATTTGTTGGACGACTTGTTACACGTTCATATGGAACAGGCCATTGTGTTCCATAAGCAAAAATAAAACTCAAAAAGACAATGAATAAATATTGAATTATCATCATGCACTTTTTTGTCTTCTGCACTAGAATAACAAATGGGTTAACTTTTTTATGTTGTTCGATATTTCGTTTTTTTTTCTTTTTGGGAATCTTATCAGTTTTTTATTTCGTTGGTCATAATGATAAATAAAATAAAAGCATTGTTATCAGTATCCTTTGTTTGATTCGTAAATGTACGTGTTGATATAACACATTCTATATATCACCTTTTCTTTTCGTTTATCTATACAAACACTTTTCTATAAAATAGGATTAAAAATCGTTTAATTAAAAAAAAATAACTCATAAAACAAGGTGTGAATTTCAAAACAAAAACATACATATATATAACACATTTTATTAGAAATTAATAAGTAAACTAAATCAGAAGCTTGATTTTTTTGTTTTTATTTTACTTAAATAGGATGTTTGCCCACCGAAAGCTGTGTCATGTTTTTTTTTTATTTTGTATTTAAAAATTTTATCACCTTTTTATTTCATTATTAGACCATTCATCTTTATTGTAAATGAGAAGAGAAAAATCTAAGACAATTATTTCTTTTGTGCGTGTGTGTCTTACATTCATTCGATACATAGTACTTAATGAAGCATCAAATTAAAACAAATCAATGGTGTCAAACATGTCGTCTGTATGAAAAGCGGCACGTGTAAATTGATTCTTCTTTTTTTTTTCATATCGGCACTTATTCTCTTCAAATTTACTTCCGTTTTGCATTAGTGGTCATTTTGAAATGATAAAGGCTCTACCAGCGATTATTCTCTTACCGTTAAGTGGACATGATTCTCAGTCCGCCAACGGCATTATTTAATGACCATTAGTAAATGAATAGGAAAAAAGAAAAATATGATAATTGATAAGGTTTTTTTTTTCTTTCTTGTTTATATTATCGGTGTAATCGTCCTTGTGTTGATCGTGAAACAAACAAAGTTTTGGCTAATTGAACAAAAAATGCCATCTGACTAATGTACATTTAATGGCGACAGTCTGGAAACGATGATATACTTTACTTAAAAGAATTAAATAAATTGATATGAAAATGAAATAGTATTGCACAATCAAATAAATGAAAATGAATGACTTTTTTATTTTATCATAATGCTAAAGATTACTGACACAATTAACAATTAAAAAAAGAAAAGGAAAAATGAAACAATGACAACAACACACACACGACAACTATACAAAATTTATTTGTTTGTTCGATGTTTTACGGAATGATATTCATAAGTGACTTTTTGAGATATAATTTTCTTTTTTAACATTTTTTATTTAATTCATATCGACGAAAACGATTCATACGTTGTTCCATACGTGGTCTCCATTCAATAACAACTGATGTACGATCAAGACTTAAAGATGTTTGCATTTGATCATAAAAACCCATTAATAAATATTGTTTATCAAGTTTTAAACGTGGACATGAACATTGAACATCTTTACGTGATACCCATATCCATTGTTCACTTTCTTGAATACGATTAAGACGATCTTTATAAACTCGAACAATTGTTAATAAATAAGATATCCATTGACCAGCATCATGTTGATTAGTTACACGTGCATGAATAGCTTTAAACAAAAAAAAAACAGTGATTTTTTTGTTTTTCATTAAATATTTTCTCTTTTTTGTTAACTTACTGTAATCTCGTTTACAATATTTTTTAACATGTAAACGACGACTATAATAACGACATGCACCACAATATTGTCCCATATCAATCGATGGATTATATTCTGTTAATATTGAACGAAAAGTTGTCGTAGATGTTGTTGTCGTTGTTGTTGTTGTTGTTGTTCTTTCGATTGGCGGCGTATAAACATCATCATCATCATTATCAACATCTTGTTCATGATAACGATGCATATTATCATTTTGATGATATATATTATATAAATTTGATGATTGCAGATTGAGTTTTTCTAATAGAAAGAATTTTATATGTCATAGAAAAAAGATTTTTTTTTTTTTATGAATATTTACTTATACATGGTGAAATAGGTGATTTAGTTTGTTGATAACCTTTCATACATCGATCACATCTTAAACCAATAACACCCTCCTTACACGGACATTGTCCAGTTGTTTGATTGCATACTTTACCTCGTGAACCCACCGGATGACAATTACATACTGAAAACCAAAAACAATAAGATATTCAATTTAACAGTTCTACTGTGCAATTACAATTCGAGTGAATGTACTGAACTTAGAATACCTTGCTAATAGTATGTCATCGGAATCTTTGAGTATTTTATAGATTTTTATGCACTTGACAACCAAATATTCGATTTACAAACTTGTTGAAAAACATTTTCATAGGATGCTATAGAAAGTGGACTAGTTCTTGGTCTGAGACAATTCTTACGAAGGAAATCTTCGATAGGATTAATCACTTTTGAGTCGATTGAGCTCTCGATAACCTGAAAAGAATTCGTGTCCTTAGCATATTGATGTTGAGATACTACATTTTTATGATATTTTTTAAATGAATGCCGATGCCCTATTGAGAAACCCTAATTTTCGAATTTCAACTTGAAATTTTGCATTGATATCAGCATTAACAAAAATATTTTATTGTGTAAGGTTCAATTCTTGTTGCTATTCCTATCCGAAGGTACAACTGTAATAATAATGTGAATTTTATATCGCTTGTATAAGTTGACAGATTTGATTTTCTTATTTTCAGAATAGAAGCAAAGTAAAAGACCTAAGACTTTCATAATAGACAACTCTCGTTTCAAGATCTGTCTCTATACAAAATTTCAAGTTGAAAGTTTTTAGGGTATTCCTAGCTCATTTAGGTTTATATAATGCACAAGGTCTTGACTCAAAAGCAAAGCAATTTATTAGTTCGAGGATGTTCATCATCAGCATGGTACCCAAAATAAGATTCTATAACATACTGGTAAGCAAGTAGCCTACTAATAAGTGACTCTGCACATGGATACCTTGACCTCAGTACATTCATCGAGGTTAAATTCTTCCACATATGTATAGATATATGTGACAAAGCTATTAGTTTCAAGATGATTTTGTGGTAATTCTTAGAGATAATTGTCTTAGACAATGGTTTATATTTATTTGTCTTGTTATAACACAGACGGAATAGTGAGACCACAATAATGTATACATATGTATATATATATATATACATCGTCTATTTATTTGGTCAATATTTGATGATTCAATGAAGAAAATCAAACGGATAATAGTTTATAAGAAAAGATATTTTTTAACAATTATCACTATTATTTGTCTCGGTATTCAGTCTAGATTATAAAAAGAACTGTATTTCCTCTTAACCTTGACTGAACGATCAATATTGCCTTCGTTTCCTATCATGAAAAGACCATCAATACTTTCCTTTCTATACAAATATATATTTATATAGATTTCCGCTGATTGACACATACATAGGTCATACTTCATCATAGAAATCCAAACAATAGCCAGGAAATATGCTATCATCCCATACTTAACACTAATGAGCAATACACACACATATATATATATATACATATATATCTATTAAAACGAAACGTACACAACAAGGCTAAAATAACTAATAGGAAAACATGCAAGGTTAGTGCAATGAATGTGAGGGACATACACACACACGTCGGAAAAAGAAGCAAAAAAAAACTAATCAACAAAGAGAAGGTCCAAGCAGCAATGTTTTATTGAATCATGCATTATTTCTCATTTTCTCATTGATTACCTTTACAAATTTCAGGATGTGTTATTGATAAATTTGGATCACGATAAAATGTTTCTTTGCAATAACTACAATGACGACCAACTGTATTATGTTTGCATTGAATACAAATTCCACCTGATTTTCGTCCCGAAAGAAGATAAAGTTCTTTATTGAAACGACATTGTTGAGAATGATTGTTACAATTGCATGCTGCAAAACATATATATATAAAATATTCTAAACTCTAACGATCCAGACGAAGGGAGAAAATGAGCAACATAATATGAAAATCTTGTTTTATTCTGCTTTCTTTTTCCTTTTGTGATGCATGTCCATAACAATGTGTATTTATGTGCATAATAACAATGAATACAACATTTATTGTCAAAAGAGAAGAAAAAAAGAAGAAAAACGAACGATATTTTTTATTGGTACTACCTTGACAAGCATTTATACTTGTCATTGTTTGAGTTAAATCACGTGTAAAACCTTCTCGACAATAATGACATGATCGACCAGCTGTATTATGTTGACAATCAAGACAAACACCACCAGATTTATGTCCACTCATTTTGTATAGTTCCAAATTAAAACGACATTTTGTTGAATGTTTATTGCAATTACAAACTAGAATTAACCTTTGACACGTATATGTGCCCTTATTTTACAACGTGTTAGAGCATAGAATCGATGTTCTTAGTTCGAATACATAATCAAACTTATAATATATGTAATTTCTTAAATCTTAAGAAGATATAAAACAACATCTTACCGACACATTCATTTGCATCACGTTGTGTTGCACGAGCCCACGGACGATCATAATGAAAATCTTTACATCGTTCACATTCATCACCAGCTGTATTATGTTTACAATCACATACTAAACGACCATCACTAAAAAAAAAAGAAAAAGAAAACAATATAACAAACGAATTTATTTTCTTTTTGTTTAGGGAATATTTGAGTTGTCATAGACACATATCATCAACACTTTAAACCATTTGCATATTTCTTCTTTTTTTTTTTTTTTGCTATGTATGGTGTATGCGTCAAAAGAATGGAATCAAAACAAATTTCAAGTGATGTGTATGTGAACGAGAATATGATCGGTTTAAACGTCATTCTAATTTTTCAAGTGATTGATCATTAAAAAAAAAAGGAAGCATTAAAGTTGAAGTTCTCATTTATTTACATATATATATATATTAGTTTGTCAACTTCCGTCTCTTTTCTCTCGCTCTCTCTTATGCACGACAATATCGTTAACAATAGAAACAATTGATCTTGATTGATCATTT